TGGATTTGAAAAATCTTCTACTACCTAAGGACTGAAGTAGCTAGAGGACCCTGAAGAGTCCTGAGTAAAGACCCATCTTCTCTCTGGCTTATTAGGGTCTCCAGAATCCTGAGTTTCAGTACTCCCTACTCTGCTTCCCCACATCCATATTCTTTTGGTGCCCTGAGGACATCTGCATCAGAATCACCTGGGGTGAAAATCTACCTCTGATGATGAGGAACTCAAACCAAAAAACAACAAACGCACTGCCATTGAATCGATTCCCACTCATAGTGACCCCCATTGGGTTTCCAAGGCTATAAATCTTTATGGAAGTAGATTGCCCCCGTCTTTCTTCCACCGAGCAGCTGGTAGGTTTGAACTGCCAACCTTTTGGTTAGCAGTCAAATGTCTTAAGCACTGCACCACCAGAGCTCCTTCTAGAAAAAGCACGTTTCTTTATATTGCCAAACTCTGTAGATCAGAAAATTGCTTTTTGTACAGTTTTCCTGCAGAAGTCAAATCCAGCTGAACGGATGCTAACTAACAAAAGCATATGATACTGGTATAATTGAATTGTTCACTTCTTGCATAAGAAATCTCACTGTTCATCTTTTCCCACTGAACAAAATAAAACAGCCTGAGGTTTAAATGATAATGTTTAGCGTGAACCAATATCTTCTGCCGTGCACAGCTACATGTGAATAAGACAACGCAGTCAATAAATCAATAGATTTTATTTTCTGCTTAGTGAAAATAAACATCCCCAGACCACTAACTTAGTCTTTATTATAAGCAAAAGTGAAACATGCAAACACTCCCACAAATGAATGTTTGACTCTCAGAAACATTAATCAGCGTTTTATTATTGTCAGCCTTTGTTCTGCATTGAATCGTGTCCCCAAAAAATGTGGGTTGTAAATCCTAACCTCTATGCTTGTGGTTATAATACCATTTGTTATGTTAATGAGACAGGACTAGTGTAGGGTGTGTCTTAAGTCAATGTCTTTTGAGATATGAAAGACATTAAACAAGCAAGCGAGTGAGCAGATGGGGTAAGATGGATGCCAGAACACATGGAGATCTGCAAGGAATCAGGAGGCAGAAGCTGAAGAGACAAGCACCTTCCTCCAGAGCCTGCAGAGAGAGAAAGCCTTCCCTAGAGCCAGCACCCTGAATTTGGACTTCTTGCTTCCTAAAATGTGAGAGAATACATTCGTGCTTGTCAAAACCATCCACTTGTGACATTTCTGTTATAGCAGCACCAGATAACTAACAGCCTTTACGGTGAAAAGTTAGACAATCAAGGACAAAAAGAAGACCACATTTTAACTATCTGGATTGGCTTTCTCAAGCTTGTAAATTCCCAAAACAATTATGCAACTTTCCACTTTCCTTCAGCTATGCTTTCCTAATCTCAGTTCCCAATATTTTTCAAATATTCTGAAACATGCCCTGGATACAGGGGATATACATGGATTTACCCAAGAATGTTGTTTCCACACCTTTCCATTCTCCAAAACCAAACTCACTGCCATCGAGTCAGATCCGACTCATAGCGACCCCTCCTTGGGTTTCCGAGGTGGTATCACTGGAAGTAGATTGCCCAACCTTCCTTCGGAGGAGTGGTTGGTGGATTTGAACCACCAGACTTCTGGTTATCAGTCAAATGCCTTAGGCACTACTCCACCAGAGCTCCTACCTTTCCATTACTACTCATCTTTTATGAAGGAAAATAATGCAGTACGTAGAGTCCACTGCGTTTTAATCCTGGATCTGCAATCTTCTAGTGTGCAACCTTTGACAACTTCTCTGTTTTTCTGTTTCCTTAGCTATAAAATGGGATAATAAAAGTATATTCACCATAGGGCTGTTGTGAATAAAATGAATTAAATAATAACATGCTTAGAATAGTACATAGAAGAAAGCAAGCACTCAATGATGATGGTAAGCCGTCATAAGGAGCTCTGGTGGTGCAATGCCTAAGGCATTTGACTGCTACCCAAAATGGTGGTGGTTTAAACCCAACAGCCACTCTGTGGAAGGAAAATCGAGCAATCTATTTCCGTAAAGATTTACCACCTCGGAAATCCAGTGGGGGTCTCTATGATTCAGAATCAACTCCATGCCAGTGGGTTTGGTTTGGTTTGGGGTTAGCAAGCCACCATAATTAGTTTTGATCATTCCATTGCTAATAATCACCTCCATGAGAGGAAAAAAAAATGGGACAAACAGAAAAAATATTCAAAATATACTATCCAAAGGCCAGTGTCATCAGAGAGGGTGAGGTTGAATGTGTATGTGAGAAAAACAGACTTTATACCAATTCTAATGGAAGAGGTTAGGACAAGTACATTTGGAGGGAAATGGTTAGGAGATAGACCCTCATAGAACTATGGTTTAAATACAAATAGCAAGAAAGGAATTGTCTATTTTAACCATGGGTAGATACACAAAAATAGACGTATGAAACTTAAGAGAGAAATGGCCTTGTGTATCTTTTTAGATACTTGGACAAACATGGTAAAATATGCTAAGGACATAAATAATAATATTTAAAAAATGATTCGTTCAAGAGTTCAGAGAAGAAAGTGGTTATCAAATGTTTCCATGACTCTTAGCATTTGCGGAAACTTCCAAGTGACAAGGACAAGGCAGGAGGCTGACAGGTGGGGTACAGCAAGAGCAAAAGCCCCGACAGCACAGACCAGTTTGGCTGGAGTAAAGTATTAACATAAGAGAGTAGCAGATGGGACCACTCTGTGAAGAAGGCAGAATTTTATACTGGGACCTAGACTGGATCCTATTCTAGATCCAAGAGTTATCCATGACCAAACCCCTGCAAGTTTAATCACACAGTCAAATGCCATAGACTGTAATACATTACAGTTTGTTTCCACGGTCCTACTTGGGATGATTTTTACTTTTAGGGTACATATTCCTGCTTCTGGATTTCACAGATGACGCAAAGAAGGGCCAGGTGATTCACAAAGCCAGTAGGTTGTAAACTACAACCCCAGGGCTCTTCCCTTGCCCATATCACACACTCCCACAAAATATATGAACATGTATGTCTTCTTCCAGAACTTGAGGGTCTTCATCACAGGTGGAACAGGTGAGCAAGCAAGCAATGGCTTCTCTGAAGTGAGAAGATGACTAACTCTGATGCCTGCTGGATTGTGCCTGTCCCTGCAGAGAGGTGGTTGCCAGCCAGTGCTATCACTAGTGGGGTATGGAGATGGGGATTGCCCCAGGTGGCACTGTCAGAGGAAGTGATACCAAATGATTGTCCGTAAAATTTGTTTTCAATTTTCAGCACAAATTTATTATTTTTATATTGTTGTTGTTGTTGTTATATGCCATTGAGTCAGACCCGACTCATAGCAACCCCTCCCTGGGTTTCCGAGGCAGTATCACTACAGAAGTAGATTGCCTCATCTTCCTTTTAAGGAGTGGCTGGTGGATCAAATGACTTCTGGTTAGCAGTCAAGTGCCTTAGGCACTACACTACTGGAGATCCCATTTTTATATTATAAATATATTATTTTTTGTAATAATTATAGTTAATTATAAGATGGCATAGGGCAGGGCAGTGTTTTGTTCTGTTGTACACAGGGGCACCTAACAACAAGAGCACCTAATTTTAACAATAAACACTTTTTATTCGTAAGCTCAGCTTACATGTATTAATATACCTACAAGGCTACAACTCTGTGTTAATTTACTTCTTGAACCTTCTAATGTGTTCCATCCAGTCAGAGCTATCATTACTTCCCAATTACAACGATGCTTCGAGTCACATGGTTTTGTCTGTATGGTCTACAAGCATATGCTGATGTTTTTGGTTGCTGACAGTGTTTTGTTTTTCACATTCATAGTTATGGGGTTTATTAGGGAAGTAACAGTCTACAATTCAGGATCAGGAACAACTCAGGATACAGGTCTTCTATCAGAACACCTTCTTCTCAGCAGTGTCTGCAGGTAGGCCTCTCTCTGGCCCTTGGCCTCTCAGCCCCTTGGCCCAGCCAGTGCCCTACTCAGGCAAGTGGAACAGAGCTCTCTAGCTCCACTGGTAAGTGCCCAGAGGCACCTCACTCTTCAGTAAGCCTTGGCCCAAAGGCACTCAGCTCTCTAGTTCTGTGGGTTGGCAAGCCTAGCTTTGTTAATAAGTGTCCAAAACGTGCTCAGCTGTCTTGCTTTGCTGTCTCCTGGTTCTGTTGCTGGTTTTCTGCTGCACTTGCCACAGCTTCTTGCTGTCTTGCATCATCTCTGGTGTTACACTTCTTTGTCTCTTGGGTCTAGAGGTTCTTAGCACAGGGACCCTGGGTCCAAAGGATTCACTCTACTCTCGGCTTTTCTTTCTTCACAGTGTAAAGTCTCCCTCTGCTCTGGGATTGGCTTTAAGGTTAGCAGGATGGCAAAACTGACCAATCCCTTTGTCAAAGTCCATACACCTTATTTGCATGTTCAAGGGTGCTATGCACCTTATTTGTATTATTAACAAGCTTTCCAGTCTCCTTGGTGAGTCACAATCACCTTATTTGCATAATCCCTCCCAATCATTTGGCAGGAGTTACAAGACTATGGCAAGAAAGACCATAGAAAAGTGAACCATTACACCACAAATGCCCATCCTCCCTTGCCCACATATTTAAATTTCACCCATCCATCAAGGCCTAACTTAAATATTGATCTCTCCTTAAACTGTTTCCTGATGTCCAACCATCACTAATCTGTCTACCAAATCTCCATAGATTTCTCCTCCAGTCCTGATTACATGCAGACTTATAGTCTAGTTATTTTTTTTCCATGTTTTATAATCATACTCTTAAGAATGAACTGAGAGTTCCGGCAAGATGGCGGACTAGGCAGAAGGACTGCACAGACACTCTTCAACAAAGAAAAGGGAAACCAATTAACACAGACACAGAAGATAATC